TGTCCCTGAAAAGCCACCAGTGAGTACGGTCCAATCTGTTTTGGGACCTCAGTGTCCTGCCTACAGCATGCACCTGGAAGGGTGGGTGCACCCAGCATTTGTCCACTCAGAAATGCTTCAGGAGTATTCTTTTGCTGTTGCACTTGAACTTTGGCAAAAGAACCTGTTCTTGTGAAGAAACCGTGACAAGATTTGGGAAGGGGCTAAAAGCTGACTAACTTTTCTCTTTCAGCTGGATACCATTCAACACCTCGCCCAACACCACCAGGTAAAGTATGATTCAGCATCAGTTGGGAGTGTTGATGCTTCCGTTAGAAAGAGCCCATTGACCAGTGCGGCAACATGGCGCTTCCATGGATACAAGAGAGAGCGGCGGTGCAAGAGTCCCTTCTGGCATGGAGGAGGCATCCTGCAATTCACTCGAAAGGGACCTTCCAGGAATGAGGCGGAGGAGGGGAAGGTAGTGGGCTAGAAGGGGGAGGCAGTGGCGGCTGGGCCTGCCCTCTCCCTCGTCCTGTCAAAGCACAGCTGCAGCAGAGATTCCCAAGGACCATGTGGTCTGTGTCTAAATGTGTATTAGTTCACGTCTTTGCATGCTCTCAGGATGAATTGGACAGCTATGTGCAGAGGAATTTTCCAAGTGCCAGCACCAAGGGCCTCTGACCTCCAGGCCAACACTTTCAAACTGAACCCTGCCGCACTCACAGCAGGCGTGGGGAGGACTGCACTGGGTGCCACTTCAAGAAAGGGCATCTCCTTGGCATAGGGGAGTAGGCAGACTTTGGTAATCATGAGACTTGCTGATTCTCCAATATGCAACCAGTTTCCATCCAGTGCTACGTTATGTTAGGTTGATAAAGTTAGGTGCTAAGGCAGGGATTGCTCCTTACCATAAAGAAAGCAAAATACTGGATCACTAAGGCTTAGCTGGAAAGGAAAGGAAAGGAAAGGAAAGGAAAGGAAAGGAAAGGAAAGGAAAGGAAAATGGGGAGAAAAGTGAGATGAGCAGATCTCCATTA